CAAGAAAAACCTGGAAAAGTCATGGAATTTTGACACGGCATTTTCCAGGCCTGAAAAAAGTTTGGGAAAAACAGAAAAACCCACAAGGTTTTTGAAAATTCATGAAAATTACATTTACATTTAGTCATTTAGCAGACGTTTTTGTCCAAAGCTACTTAAACTCCGGTCACCCTAGAGCTTGTGCTTGCGAAATTCTGTCATACGGTGCTGCGAAAAGGGGCGGGGTTAAACAAGATGATTAGACATTAATAAAAGTGAGCGATTGCTCCATATTTTAAATTTCCTATTTTAAATGATCTTTTATTGGTCTAATGATATAACGTGATGCAATTTTGCAGGTAAGAATACACCAAGCTTGAACTTTCGAATGTAATGGAAGACAAAACTTGTCGCACGCGCTTGCGCTTCTGGTCTGCCACATTTGCATGCCTAAGAATGGAAGTTTATGGAACGAAAAGTGCAGTGTGATCGCTGCTTTATAATAGAAGTAGTTATACCTATTATTTCTAGTTTAACAAACTATTAACATCATCTCAAGTTAGTTTGACAAATATCCGTATATTGGAATGGAGGACAGTTGTTTTTACTTCTTTTCTTGGCCAAAAACATGCAGTCACATAATTAGTGCTGTGTAAGCATCATCTATTTTACATAGATATAAAAATAAATTTAAACTAAAGAGATTGTTGCTTGTTTTATACTGTAATAAATTTAAATGTTCATTGTTATCCTTATGATTTACCACATATATGTAGACATTACATGTAACATTAGGTCATGAAAATGGACTCGAAAGTCCTTGGGAAAAGTCATGAAATTTTTGTAGTAAAAATTTGTATGAGAGAATAATTTCCTGACATTTCAAAAATGTAATCGCTGTAACTAATTAATATAAAGTAGAACAAAATACAATTATACATTATACTGTTCCTATTACTAACCACTATTTTTTTCTTTAATAGATTTAAATATAATAAAAAAAAAGTTTACTTTACGGTCGATGCTACAGCGTTTATATAAATAGGCCAAATGACGCAATGAAACAGTCAATAGCCCATTTCACAGATGCAGATGTTTACAGGAAAATACTGGTAAATTGCAGTAAAGAGATCAGGCCTTTTAAAACATTAGTAAAAATACCAAGAAATGAGTTTTCATAACCTTGATAAACATAACATTACCATTAAAAGTCTGGAATTCTGCAGTGTGTTAGAGGTTTTTATTTACCTATAAAGCCATTTCTGTAATTTTACGACAATTTATTAAAATGTGAAAGGGGCTAAAAATGGCGCCTCACTGCAAGAAGGTCGCTGATTCGAGCCTCAGCTGGGTCAGATGGCATTGGAGTGTGCATGTTCTCCCCGTGTTCACGTGGGTTTCCTCCGGGTGCTCCGGTTTCCCGCACAAGACCAAAGACATGTGCTATAGGTGAATTGGGTAAGCTAAATTGTCTGTAGTATATGCTTGTGAATAAGAGTGTATGGGTGGTTCCCAGTGATAGGTTGCAGCTGAAAGGCCATCCGCTGCATAAAATATACGCTGGATAAGTTGGCGGATCATTCCGCTGTGGCGACCCCTGATTAATAAAGGGACTAAGCCGAAAAGAAAATGAATGAATGAATGAAAGGGGCTAATGACAGCAAAAAAATTGTACATAAGTGTTTAGAATTGGGGTGGCATGGTGGCTCAGTGGTGAGCACTGTTGCCTCACAGCAAGAAGGTCGCTGGTCCAAGTTGACATTTCTGTGTGGAGTTTGCATGTTCTCCCCGTGTTCGCGTGGGTTTTCTCCGGGTGCTCCGGTTTTCCCCACAAGTCCAAAGACATGCGGTACAGGTGAATTGAATAAACTAAATTGGCCATAGTGTATGTGTGTGTGAGAATGAGTGTGCGAGTATGGGTGTTTTCCAGTACTGGGTTGCGACTGGAGGGGCATCCCCTGCATAAAACGTGTTGGAATAGTTAGCGGTTCGTTCCCCTGTGGGACCACTGATAAATAAGGGACTAAGTTAAAGGAAAATGGATGAATAAATGATTGTTTATTGGAACTCAGCATAGAAACACCTGGGATTATTTGTTAAACCCTGGTAAACTGTAAGCAAGAGAACTCAGATTTCACTTTTTCCAATGTTAAATATGAAAAAGTTAGCTTACCTTTGGCCATCTTTGTGACACCTGGACCAACACTCTCCACCACTCCGGCCCCTTCATGCCCCAAAACCACAGGAAAAGGCTGTGGATTCATTGTTTTACCAACTTCATGTAGGAAAGTCCAGTCGGTATGGCATATTCCAGATGCCACCATCTGACCCGGGTCAATTCATAGTCAGTGAGCTGATAAATAAATACTGCCTTGCCACTGATCAAAGTAATATCTTAAATTAATGTAGTATCGTAGAGAAATGTAACGGATTTACCTTGATCCGTACTTCATGAGCTTTGGGAGGGGCGACCTCTACATCCTCAATAGACAGTGGTTTTCCTGGTTCCCAGGCCACTGCTGCCTTGCACTTGATCACCTTAGAGTGGATAACATATTTTATTATATCTTAATATGATATATTTCTAAAAAAAACAAAAAAAAAAAAACTTTGATGGCAAAAATTACCTTTCCTTCAGTTTCCATGGTAACCACAATCTTGTAGTACAGTTTTATGTAATCAGCCTCCTAAAAGAAATCAAATGACTATTAAAATCCTGGAATTTGTGTTAATGTGTTATTATTATTATTATTTTTTAATTCTTTCACCGTAAGTTAGAAAGAGTCTGATAAAAAAATGATCAAAAAATAAATGAATAAATGATATTATTTAAGGATGAGCCGATACCACTTTTTATAAACCGATACGAGTACAAGTATTTTAATTTGTGTACTTGCAGATACCGAGTACCGATTCCGATACTTCTTAGATTTGGTTTCAATGTAAGTGCAATTAATTTGCAAGGAGGTTTTATTTTTTTGCTTGTAGCAAGGATGAACACAAAAAATCTTTAACAGAAGACCAAGCCAAAAATATACACACATTGTTGATAACTCTGTAAATCAATAAACCTTATTGATTACCAATTACGTTATATTTGCGAGTCCTGCCATTAATCCATGGTTCATGTAATCAAAAAGTTTAACTACAATGTTTGGTCGTGGGTGGATAAGTTAATTATTTATGCAAACTTTGACTACTTTCTCTAAAATATTAAAATGTTTTAAGCGATTTTATCTTAACATATTGCTACAAATATGCATACTTTCATATTCGGTTATTCTTCAGTATCGATTTGATAATAATGTCTTTTAAACAGATTGTTTATAAGGACTAAGCTATTAATATATAATACATTATTACACTAATTGAAGTCAGGTAGGACAACAAATCACAGCCACGTAGCGAAATACTGTTGAGTGGTATTGGTGCATTTCATGTACAATACGAGTACAATTTAACCAAGTATCAACCCGATACCAGTATCGGTGCATCCCTAATCTAAATGTCACTCTCCTTAACAAATGAAGAAAAATGAAACAAGCAAATAATGCTTTTAATGACTAATTATTAAAATACATATCATTGAATAAAACAAAAAATTTTTGTGCTATTTTCTGTGAATATTAATGTAGAATGTACTGTATCATCTAGTTTAATGCAAAGTGTATTACTTTTAAAGTTAATCTCATGGAATATCATTCATCGACATGCTAACGCAATTATCTATATGAGCCATATCATACATCACTTAAAGCCTAGATATTTTACCAAAATTTGATTCTGTTTGCACAGACATGAGGTTGCATATTTGTTACATGTTTCTGTGGGTAGAATTAAAGAAGTATGCAAGTGCACAGCCTAATAAATTGTAGACTTAAGTTGTACACTAACTTGTCATGGCAAAATAATTCTTCAACATTTAAATTAAACAGTACACAGTTCTTATATATTTAAAACATTATCATAAAATAATCCAAGTTCAGAAACTATACCAAATGCTTTTTTTGTATTCATTTAAACGTAAATATATCTTTCAACACTATAAAGTACCCTAGTTTTTGAACATATTTAAAACATATTCAGTAAAGCGTACGACTGCATGCACATATTTATGTTTTCAAATGTTTGTATGCTATTAATAACTTACAGAGCTGTTTTTGTCAGGGCTCGGGAGAGGAACTGCTGGTACTAGTGTACTTTGTACTGCACAGCTGCTATATGATTTAAAACACGTGGATGACTGACCAATACAGCAGCTGAACATAATGCTGCCAGCATGTGATTGGATAACAGACACGCATAGTCAGTTTTCAAAGGTAACCTTTGTGTACCTGTATATTATGATCAAGAACTAATGAATATAACCAATTCAATCAAATCATATGTAGAAATGAGAAAAAATTGTCACCTAGGAATTATAAGGTTCTGTCTGCATTCTGAATGATTTTGAGATATTAAGTTTTAAAGTTTTTTTATTCCATATACAGTAGCAGACAGTGTGTGTAACATTTGTTTTTTAAATAAAAAAAATCTTAAAATGTAAAGAACTTACAAAAAACATCCCATAATGTAAATAATTTGTCATTTAATAAGAATGTCAATAACTCAGTTTTGACAATTTATTTATTTATTTTTTTTACAAAAAACATAATTCTAAGGTGACGAAATGTCACACTATGTTTTCATGTGCCAATTATCATTAAAAAACTGCATATGACACCAATATAGATATAAAAAAATGTACATACTGGAAGCACATTATTTAAATATAATGCATATGAATAATCATAACTTACAAATAGGCTATGCATGCAATAAGTTGAGCTTTCAAAGTGCTGACGAGAAATCCTACATATCGGGATGTGCTCATTAGCCAAAAAAAAAAAACAAAGAGATTATTTGGATGCATAGTGTAATATAAACATAGCCCCTGTGTCACATGGAACACACACAAAAAAGGTACTCCTGTTACGTATATAAGTAAAGTAAACTGAAGAAAATAAGACATAAAGAGTGCATACTGATAAGAAAAAAAAATCAACTTCGGCTTTATTATGTAGAACAGTCTCCGATCAGAACAGATGTGCTCTTTGAAAATATGGCCTAAAAGAACAATCAGTGCCCTAAATATGAATGACTTTTCCTTTCTGTCTATAAATGTGCAGATACTATACATACAGGAACTTAAAAGGGAACTTTGCATTAGCAGGTAGGTGGGTAATCATTGTCTAAGCATGAGCCTGCCAATCTCTTTTCCTTTGTAAATATTGCAAAAGCGTCTTTTATTGTAGTCTGATAATGGCTGTTACTGTGTCAACCCAGCAAAACTCATTTTTTAACTATATTACAAATTTAGGCCATAGAGAGGCAGAGGAGAAACACATCAAAACCACTGATATTGTGCGGTCTGTTAGAAGGATTTTGGGAATATCACATCTCAATCACTGTCCGAATGCTATAAAAAAAGAAAGAGAGAGAGAAATCAAGTTACATAAAAGTTTAATAATACATTTTGCACTTATTGCTCAGGCTTTTTATTATTTGATTTAAATTGTATTATGAATGATGACATGGTTTTTATCATAGATTTATCTGTAACACTTTACAATACACCACATGGAGAGTTAATGATAACTGTTTATAACTTACAATACATTACAGTATTTATTCATCTTTATTTATATTAAATTAAAAACACAATGTTACTTCATTTATGTTAACTCAAAGTGCATTAAAATGAACCATGTGTCCCATATTATAAAGGTTTATCGATTTATCACTTAAAGTTGGCATGAAATGAAATATCCCACAATAAACAAAAGTATTTTGAATGCTTCATTAGTGTATCTTGCAATTTCTTTATCTTGTCATATTAATTCTTCAATCATTTAGTCAACATATACACTCCCTGGCCACTTTATTAGGTACACCTTACTTGTACCGGGTTGGACCACCTTTTTGCCTTCAGAACACCTTTTGATCCTTCGATTCAACAAGGTACTGGAAATATTCCTAAGAGATTTTTGTCCATATTGACATAATAGCATCCTGCAGTTGCTGCAGGTTTGTTGGCTGCACATTCATGATGTGAATCCCCCTTTCCACCACATCCCAAAGGTGTTCTATTGAATTGAGACCTGGTTATTGTGGAGGCCATTTGAACACAGTGAACTCATTGTCATGTTCAAGAAACTAGTCTGAGATGATTCATGCTTTATGACAGGGGTCACCAATCTTGTTCCTGGAGGTCTGGTGCCCTGCAGGGTTTAGCTCCAACTTGCCTTAACACACTTGCCTGGATGTTTCAAGTATACTAAGTGAGACCTTGATTAGCTTGTTTTGGTGTGTTTGATTTGGGTTGGAGCTAAAATCTGCAGGATACCGGACCTCCAGGAACAAGTTTGGTGATCCCTGCTTTGTGACATGGCGCATTATCCTGCTGGAAGTAGCCATCAGAAGATCGGTACACTGTGGTCATAAAGGGGTGAACATGGTCAGCAGCAATACTCAGGTAGGCTGTGGCGTTGACACGATGCTCAGTTAGTACTAAAGGGGCCCAAAGGGTGCCAAGACAATATCTCCCACACCATTACACTACCACTACCAGCCTGAACCGTTGATACAAGGCAGGATGGATCAATGCTTTTATGTTGTTGATGCCATATTCTGATCCTACCATCTGAATGTTGCAGCAGAAATCGAGACTCAGACCAGGAAACGTTTTTCCAATCTACTATTGTCCAATTTTGGTGAGCCTGTGCAAAATGTAGCCTCGGTTTCCTGTTCTTAGCTGACAAGAGTAGCCCACGGTGTGATCTTCTGGTGCTGTAGCTAATCCGCCTCAAAGTTCGACGTGTTGTGTGTTCAGAGATGCTCGTCTACATACCTCGGTTGTAACGAGGGGTTATTTTTTCCCTCAGCTTTAACCAATCTGCTTATTCTCCTCTGACCTCTGGCATCAACAAGGCATTTGCGCCCACAGAACTGCCGCTCACTGGATATTTTCCTTTTTTAGACCATTCTTTGTAAATCTGGTTGTGCATGAAAAATCCCAGAAGATCAGCAGTTTCTGAAATACTCAGACCAGCCTGTCTGGCACCAACAACCATGCCATGTTCAAAGTCACTTAAATCACCTTTCTTCCACATTCTGATGCTCGGTTTGAACTGCAGCAGATCGTCTTGACCATGTCCATATGCATCAATGCATTGAGTTACTGCCATGTGATTGGCTGATTAGAAATTTGCATTAACTAGCAGTTGGACAGGTGTACCAATTAAAGTGGCCAGTTAATATACATTGGCTCTTACCAATTGACTACACGTTTCCATATATTTTAGTGAATAATTAATATTAATTACATTTTTTAACCAACCCGATGCCAGTCACAATATGAAAATGTCACTACTTGAGCACAATACTGCAATATCATATGTACTGCAAGAAATGATAATTACTGAAAATATGAATATGGTGAACACAACAGTCTGCTATAAAAAGAGTAAAAGTAAAACATTAAGGTAATGAAATCTTTTTGATATCACAATACAAATCAAGGATTTTGTTCATAAGTACAGTAGATGCATAAAAACAAACCTTTTCCCACTCACGATGAGATCAAATGCCTGGTTAATCTGATCTAGAGCGAGTCTGTGTGTCACAAACTCATCCAGGAGAATCTTTCGGCTCATATAGTCTTGAACCAGTCTGGGCACAGCTTCAACACTCTTCCAGCCTGTCAATCAAATGAGCGAGGTAATTACTTTAAAGAAGGCATTTGATGCTTGGTAATGTTTTTCTTTTCCTCTAGTGTGTAATGCATCTGTTTGTGCATGTATAAGATCTGCAAAGACAAACAGCTTGCAGTCTCACACATAAGGGATTTATTTTCCTGTCCATCAGAGAACACTGATCAAGCCTAAAATGCATCGATCAAACTGTGAAACTCCAGTTTGAGTCATTTGTATAGTACAACTGGTTTCAATCGATCAACATAAATTGGACTCGAGTAATGGTAAAACAGGCACATTATTAACTATTTCTGTTTAAAAAACGGCCTGTCTAAAATAGCATCCTTGGAAACAATCTGGCAATTATGGTAAGAGGCAATACATTTCTGACGTACTGTATGCTTGTCTTGACATGCTTGGCCAATCAGAGCACTGAGATTTTTTTATGAAAGAGGGGCTTTATTGAAACCAGAATTCAATGACAGCATTTTAGACAAACTGAAAATAATGGTGCTGCAAAGAATGTTTAATATGTGAAACAAATGAGTTCATGAACATTAAATGAAGCCTTAAACTAAATTTTCTGAGATCTTAACAAAGGTTTGTGTTGCATAAACTGTAATAGAAGACAAAGCAATTTCCTAAATCCATTGATTTTCACCTTTTTTTCCCCACATAAAACTATTAATTATGAGCTTTTTGCAGTAATGTGACCAATAACTGATATGAGAAGATATGTTGCTTTTATGTTGGAGGCCTCTTTTTGTGAGCTTGTATTTCATAAAAGATAAGAGCAATCATGGGTCAAAGTGGGTGATTTATTTTCCTTTGTAAGATTTATTTGCAGCTTCTCCTAAGATCATGGGCTTTGGACACATTTATATGAGTGTAACTGGTCTTGATAATGGGTTATACTGTATAAGGACTCCAAAAAAAGCCTTTAGTTATTGAAGATGCTGTGTTCTGTGATCCTTTAATTGATACACATGGCCTCTTTAAAGGTATAGTTCACCCAAAACTAAAAATTTACTTATTAAATCCCCCTCAGGTGACTACAAACCTTTATGAGTTTCTTTATTCTGTTGAACACAAAAGAAGACATTTTGAAGTAAGCAGAAAACCTGTAACCATTGACTTCCATAGTAAGAAAATCAAATACATTGGAAGTCAATAGTTATAGGTTTCCAGCTTTCAATGGAAATGAACGAAAGTCAAACAGGTTTTGAACACGTAAAGGGTGAAGAAATGATGACAGAATTTTCAGTTTTGGTTGAACTGCCACTTTAATTTCTCACATTCACTTTTCAAACAGCATCCATAGTTGCCTTGAACCAATCTTGCCATTTACCTCCAAAATAAGTGCCCTTCAGAGTTCTTCCCAGCAGGATATCCAGTGGGGCAAGAGAAAGTTCCTCCACCTCAATCCAGCCCACAATCACGCAGACTCCCCCTGCAGGACTGCATGCTTCCACAGCTGCCCGCTGCTCAATGGAAAACAATCAATGATTTTCTTCTACTTGACAATGTGACAGCTCTACTAAACTTGCATAACTTACCATAACCGCCACATCGCCGACACACTCAAGAGCATAATCAACGCCACCATTGGTCAGCTCCCTCAGCACCTCTTGAATGGATTTACTGTGGTCTTTATGGTTCACAAACTCAGTCGCTCCAAATGTCTTACCGATCTCAAACTTGTCTGAATTGATGTCAACAGCGATGATTCTGGAGGCACCGGCAGCTTTGCAGCCCATGACAGCTGCCAGTCCCACAGCTCCCAAACCAAACACTGCACATGTGGAGCCAGATTCCACCTGGCAAAGACAAAGCCAAACAATATCACACATGATACAAGATCTGCTACTGGATAATAGGATGTTATTTTTTTGTCTTTTTGTCATTATGCCAATTGAAATCACATATCATACAGACTTTGCCTGTGTTCACTGCTGCCCCATATCCTGTAGAAACTCCACAGCCCAGCAAACACACTCTGTCCAGTGGAGCGTCTGGGTGAATCTTGGTCACATTGTCCTCTGGCACAACCGTATATTCAGAGAAAGTGCTGATACCAATAAACTGATGAACCTGCTGATTCTTACAGGTGATCCTGCTGGTGCCATCAGCAAGAACACCTTGTTGAGTTTTCTCCCTGAAAGGCAGAGGAAATACTAATGGATGTCATGCATAGAAAAATGATAATTCAGAGTTGCTAAATAACATCATGACTGATTAACTAATAGAAAATGCATAGTCACATAAACACAGAAATGACATTGAATCATTATAAATATTCATACTAGTTCTAATTAACAGCAGTTAGTCTCTATTCAAAATTAAATGTAAAAAAACTAACTCTTAGACAAGTGCTTTTTAATTTATTCATTTTTTTATTCTAACCAGTTTTTGGTGCAGAGGTTGGTCTTTGGACTCTGACAGCGTTCACATTGTCCACACTGTGGCAGGAACAGAGGAATCACTTTATCTCCTTCAGATGGAGATATTTGGAATTAATGCAGGTCACATACTGGATTTTTCACATATTAATATGAATCATGGAAGCAAAGAACGGCGAAAAGATGAAAAAGACATTTCAAGCATCAAAACAACAAAAGTTTAACACATATTTTAAGCTTATTTAATAATGTTTAAATGCATTTTTATGAGGAAAAAAATAATGACTATTTAAAAAAATGATGTATTATTTATTTATTTTAATAGTAAAATAAGAAATGTATTTTCATACACTATTTTCAAAATTTAAAAATGTTCAATATTTTTTAAATATATTTTTTAAGTACAGATCAGTATGCCAAAACTATTTTTAAGAATCACTTTTTGTCAGTTTAATTAGTTGCAGACACCAAAATGGGCCGTACATTTTATGAAAACATACACAATTATATGAACAATTTTTATTCTGTAAGTAACTTAAGTCTGTAATCTGTTTTTATTTAAATGTAAACTCTTCATCTGAATTTGTTTATATTAGAAGTTGGCTTTTACCTATAGACACCTTTGTGACACCTGGACCAACACTCTCCACCACTCCTGCCCCTTCGTGCCCCAAAACCAAAGGAAACGGCCGTGGCTTCATTTTAGCAATATCATACAGGTAAGCCCAATCTGAGTGACAGACGCCAGATGCAGCAATCTTAATAAAAGTTCATAAAAAACAGTCATTGCCAGGTGAAATAAAATAATACTACATCAATTAAATCACAATAAAATAATAATAATTAGATCATTTAAAAGCTGATAGCTTATAACCACATACTTCTGGCTTAAGTTGTTTTAAGATAAAAGCAAGTCTAAATTTACACTGTACCCAATCTAGCATGACAATTACAATGTAACAGATTTACCTTGATCCGTACTTCATGTGCCTTGGGAGGGGCGACCTCTACTTTCTCAATGGATAGTGGTTTTCCTGGTTCCCAAGCCACTGCTACCTTACACTTGATCACCTTAAAAAACAATCAGAACATTTGGAGTTTCAGGTGTTTTAAAAGTACTTTTTTTTTTTTTTACTGTTTTACTGTAAATGATAAAATCTCAATTTTGTTACTGGCATTGATTACATAATATTACTTCCGATAATATTTTTGTCAGAAAACCAGTAGTCACAGGCCCATAGTCAGACTGATAAAAGAAATGGTTCTATTTTCTCCAAAAAGTGGACCTTTTTGCATTTATTCATCTCATTTTCTGTTGAAGTATGAGATTTAAATACTGAATTTAGGTTCAGTGGGTTACATTTAGGTTACATTTTAAACATTAATTTTAGCTTAATTAGCTTGATGGATGGCCATCATAACCACACTTTTAGATTATTTAGAATAAAAGTTTAGAAATTTTAAATTTAGAATAATTTTTTTTTGTCTATTTAAAAACAATACAGCAGTGAAAGATGACTTCACTTTACATCAGATGTTTTCTTGACACCTGGAAGTTGGACTCTTGAAAAATAATGATTTGCATTGACCAAAACTGATTAACTACGTAACACTAGGATTCCGCTTGGTCTTAAAGACTTTTTAGATGGGTTATACTATTTATGATGGCATAGCAGTCAAAAAAGTACAAACGAGCTCATGTATGGAACAAATTCTGGACTTTTGTCAGAGAGGGGTGGGTCTTCTGAACCACCCAAATGCTCCCTCTCTAGGGGCCTGAGTCAAGTTTTTTTTTTCATACAATAACACATTTGCTCTATTAGATAGAAAAAAAGGTTAACATATGTTCAAAATAATACAAAAATAAGAAAGAAATGTTTCCTGAGAACCACCTTAGTTTATTTTTATAGATCTAAATGATCATTCAGTTGTATAAAGTGTAGTAATCTTTCCTAAAATGATACTGTTGTTTCAGATAAAATTAATGTAACCTTGCTTAACCATCAGAGATTATTTTAAAATTAACTAAATCTTACTTAATGATCCCAAACTTTTGCAGGGTATACTGCTACTACATGAACTACAATAATTGTTATAATAATATATGAATGCCCTTACCTTACCCTCAGTTTCCATAGCAACCATACACTTCACAGTGAATCTTTCTACTAACGTTAGTGCTGAAACAAAAGCAGAAATATTGGTGTCAAGGTCATAATTATACAGCAACGTTACATAAATATAGTAACTTTATCCCAGTCAGAAATGTTTACTGTATACTAATGTGCTACTAATATCTTGTCATTTACAATTCTGCATATTAAAGCCAATCTAACATTCGAAGAGACATTACGTACGGACTATTAACCAACTGTCTACTGTTTTTAATCTAGGTTCAGAAGAGCGCTTTTGTTGTTGATATTTCTTTCCTACTCTTCTATATTCAGAATTTGGGATGCTGGCCAAGCGTCATCTGATTGGCTAACAGTCATTCTTCTGCGCAGCGGAATCAAAACAAATCGGAACGTGACCGCCATCTTATGGAAGACTCTGGAAACTACGGTCAATCTGAAAAGCAACACTAATTACTGACACCTGCTTTTCAAACCTGACTGCTTTGCCTCTACAACAAATGTAGTGTTTATCCGCGAGTATAAGACACTGAGATGGCTTTTCTGGCTGTAATTGTGCTTTTGCTTGTAAGGAGCTGTTGCACATTGGCAGTTGAAGGTAAAAGAAGCAACTTACTCATCTAAATTAAATACTTGACTGACAGCACTTCTGGGTGTGAACTTGGAAGTTGTCGTAGCCTCACTGTTGTAGATAGTTAATATTATGCACTTAATGCTAATTGAATGTATTTTAGCAGAAATGCTACACATGTTAGCACTGGTTTTGTTTTATAGAGCCTTCTGGTGATGATGCTGCGTTGCCTTACAATAAAGTGCAGAACAGTGCAGAAACCACCTATGGCTATGTGACCTGTGCGTTTGCAGTGCTGTTGTATGGAAGCTATTTTGTTCCTATGAAAAGAATAGAGACCGGCGATGGTAAAGTCATTAACTGTACTATTTTATCCTTCAAGCCATTACTTTTGACTCAAAATGTGTTGTCTTTCCAGGAATGTTTTTCCAGTGGATTTGCGCTTCGGGTATATGGTTTGTTGGACTGGTTGTTGACACACTGTTTCACCCATCCAAAGCTCATCCAGCTGCTATGCTTGGAGGAGCACTTTGGGCCACAGGTAAGCTTATTAAAATCCTTTAAGTTATATAGATGTTATTTATGTAAGTTTTTCTTCTCAGGACATGTAAGCGCTGTCCCAGTAGTTAAGTTTATTGGACTTGGACTTGGGATTTTGCTTTGGGGATCCAGTGCATTGCTAATTGGATGGGCAAGCTCAAGGTAAACTGTCTCGATGTTTTGACACAAGGTGTTTAAACTGGGATGTGTTGAATTTCCTGGTGTAAGGATGCATTCATCTTGTGGTTCAGGCTAGTTCACAAGATTTGAGCAGTGACACAAGCATTTAGAGCAGAGGTGGCCAAAGATGGCCTATGCTGGCCATCCTAACTGAAAGGGAAAATGATGGGGAGTTGGTTGGGGGTGAATACTTTTGACAGACTGTCATTTCAAATTGAATATAACATTTTGTTTATTTGAGGAGCTACAAAATTCAACAAAAATTAAATGTTACATTTAAATGTAAATGAATCCCACTAATAAAATGTAAAAACTGTGACTTGACATGTATAAGACACGGGTGAGCAAATCAAGGCAAAGGCAGGACCAGCTCGACTAGTGTATTGAGCATTGAACTCCATTATGTTATAAATGGGATTTTTAAAATGTTTTTACTATGTTTCTTACAAAGCATAAAAATGATGCTGCATAATTATTTAATATGTTTTAAAGCTAGTTATTTTTAAATAATATTCAAATAAATTTGAAATTACCCATGGCAAATTTATGGTTTGGTTTATTTAACTTCGAACCACTGCCCTCAATCAAGTTTGGTTTTTGGCCCTTTATAAGAAAAAGTTTGGGCACCCCTTTATCTAGAGAATAGGTTGAGCAGTTTAAAATGTGGCAGTAAGTAGTAAATGTAATTTTGACATCAGTTTAGTTTTTTTAAATGTTATTTTTAGAATCTTAAGAAAATTTTAATTTAGCTCATACATAGTCATACTTTTTCTTGGGAGTATTTTCTTTATTGGTTAATATATATATATATATATATATATATATATATATATATATATATATATATATATATATATATATATATATTTGATTGTTTATTTTGCATTTGTTAACTAAACTATTTCACAGAGTAACCATTAAAAGAACTAAAATGTAATATTTTTAATATCTATTTTATATTAAAACAAGATTAAACTAACAAATCAGAATCTGTCTTTGTACAAAATACAATGTAATTAGAGTATGATGGAAACGAGCTCACCAGCTCATCTTCAGGGGTATGCGAGTTTGTGAGGGATTAGAAAAAATATGGTTTATTCGCAAAGCGCTTTTGTGCAAGGTGTTGTTTATTTATAGTGCCAAAAAGTCTATCCTCAGTGAAGGTATAAACAAATGCAAAAAAACAAACAAAAATCAAAAAAGTACCAAAGAAACAATAAACAGGAAAATAAATCAGGAAAATATACTCTAAATATATCTACAAAAATAATAACAACAAGTATCCACAATATATGAGTCTGGTTGTGGCTCTGCAGTAGCACACTTGCATCGACTTCGTAAAAAAGCAAACTCGTATATATTGTGGATACCTGCTGCGCTTATTTTTCTAGATATATTTGGAGTATATTTTTCAGATTTACTTCCTGTTTGTTGTTTCTTTGGTACTTTTAGAATTTTTGTTTTATTTTGCATTTGTATATACCTTCAGAGTTTTTGGCAGTGTAAATAAACTCTTTTGCACGACACTGCGAGTAAACCATCATTTTTGATCCCGCTCAAACTCTCATTTCTCACCCTGAAGATGAGCTGGTGGGCACATTTTCATCGCATTGTGGTTGCCCCTTTTCAAAATATTAAAGTATTAATAGATACATTTATTTGTTATTATTATTTATTAAAGTCTCATTCAAGTCATTTATTTCAAGGTTTGGCTGGTTTGGACTGCATCCAGAAGAAGTATCAAAGCCTTTGCTCAATTACTGTGGTGCTGGCCTTTGTCTTCTAAGGTACTGGGAAATTTTTATATTTTTCAATTATTTTTATTTATTATTATGCATTTATGTGTGCAATTGTAAACACTAAGAATTATTCTTAAATTTATCAGTCAATTTTCGGTTTGACCAATTTGGGTCATGGCTAATGTAGCAAATATGGGCCAATATGTGAGATCATGGTTTGCATGTGAGCAGAAGAAAAATCTAACATGCTTATAGAAAGGCAAACAAAATTCAAGACATGGCAAAATATATAGAAAAACCAAGGGTAGCTAAACATGGGGGGAATAGTGTAAGGATAACATGCACTTTTTCATGATGGAGGATGTAAAACCTTTGCATTTACAGTTTTTAGTTTTGTATTTCTGTTAAGTGACACTGGTAGTGCAGTCTGAAGTACTACTTTTTTATAAGCAATATTCAAGTGCTGGATTGTAACAAAATGCTGTGGGAAGCCTTTTACTAACTCCATCTTGAAAATATTTCTAGTTCACTTATGAGTTACGCCTCATGAAGTTCCTTTGAGATCAAAGTTCGGCTGTCCTACTGGCCTAAAAGTTCCTGTGAAATTGAAAATGCAATATACTGTGTAAGGCAGGATAAATCTTCTCCTAAGACCTGAAGTCGCATTGTATTGGAGCCACAGTTCCATTTTATTTTATGGAATAAAAATATCCTTATCTTTTATTTATTGTGTAAGGTCAGCTTTTATGTAACACGATTGCGTCCTTGTTTTAGTGCCATCATATTCTTCTTTGTGAAAAGTGATGGTCATCAACGCACGTCCACTGAATTTATGCCTCTGTTGATTGATGATAGGGTAAGTTTAAGGCTTTTTTTAGGTTAAGAATAAAATTTTCTTGGATACACAAATAGTTGCAGTGTGTGAGTGTGCGCGCATTTACACATGTATGTCTTTAGAGGCTGGATCCAGACAGCATAAGTCCCAGTGATTCATGGGTGGACACAATTTCCCCGAAGAGCAAGAGAGTGTTGTAAGTAACTTTATGGCCAATTTCCATTTTACAGACATTTCTCTAGTTGTTCATGAATGCTGCACTGGAAAGTCTGAGTTTGAAGGCTTTTCTTCTGTGCTTTTGCTTCCTCCGTTCTGGAAATATATAGCAAGAGTTGTGAAATGTGGCATACAAATAGAGATCAGTCTGCATGTTAACCACAGAAAATGTGTAGTCTCTAAACCAATCCATCCAGTGCCAACAACTGTCAAGTTGCACAAGTTGTATTTGTATCACTTTTGAACTGTAAGGACTGAATAGTGTTTTTCTTTTACTTAAAGCGATTTCATTGCATTTTTTTTGCATCTTCAAACTCTTATTAAAGCAGATAATCTTAAATATTAAATTTCTCTTGAATAACATGCAAACAAATGCTAAAGTGGATGTAAAGTTATATCTCTGCGATGCTTGAGTGTATTCAGACTGAACTTGGTGTGTTTGACAACCATGTCGTGAAGGACACTTGTCATCTTTCCACATTGTAAGGAACTTTTTTGGCAGTGCCACCTAGTGGTCAATGTTTTTTTTCTAATAACTTCCAGTCAAACAATCAGTCATTTTGAAGGTTGTTGTAAAATGCTATGAACCCATTAATATACAATTACAAAACATTTTGCAATTTCACTTCTATACCCTACAGCATATAAAGACACAACATGTAAGATTTTTTTTTTCTATTAAAATGGCCTCTAACAGTATCTGGATGCAGACTTAGATTTGCCAGCTGAGACCGCATATCTCATGATGAGATGCAGTGTCAGACAATGCACTCAATAGAGTTCGTGACGTCACTGTGAAGGGTGGGGTTAGTTGTGGGCATCACAAACTCACTAGAATAGTGTTTTATATGTATATCTACACTACCGGAAAAAAGTCTTGTCAATGATCCCAGTTGTAAGTGCAGCAAATAATAACTTGACTTCTAGTTGATTATTTGGAAAAGTGGCAGAAGGTAGATTTTTCTGATGAATCATCTGTTGAGCTGCATCCCAATCACAAATACTGCAGAAGACCTATTGGGACTCGCATGGACCCAATATTCTCACAGAAATCAGTCAAGTGTGGTGAAGGGAAAATCATGATTTGGGGTTACACTCAATATGAGGGCATGCTAGAGATCTGCAGAGTGTATGGCAACATCAACAGCCTGAGGTATCAAAACATTTGTGCTGCCCATTAAATTACAACCTGTGGGCAAATTCTTCAGCAGGATAACACTTCTCACACTTCAGCCTCCTCATCATTTCCTGAAAAGGTCAAGGTGCTCCAGGATTGGCCAGCCCAGTCACCAGATATATGAACATTACTGAGCATGTCTGGGTTAAGATGGAGGAGGCATTAAAGATGAATCCAAAGAATCACCATGACTTTTCCTTTGCCTTTATTTTCTATACTATACATCAGGGGTGACCAACCCTGCTCCTGGAGATCTACTGTCCAGGAGATTTCAGTTGCAACCCAAATCAAACACACCTGCCTGTAATTATCCAGAGCTGTTCAGGTCCTGATTAATTGGTTTAGGTGTGTTTCATCAGGGTTGGAGCTGAACTCAACAGGAAGGTAGATCTCTAGGAGCAGGGTTGGTCACCCCTGCTGTACATTATTTCTGTTTAATGACAATAATTTTGTAATTAAACACATACTTTACTGTCTTAATTAAAAACCAAGGCATGATCATATTTTATTTTGGTAAAATAAGCGTAATCTAGAGACCTTTGCTTTCATATAAGCCATTTTTGATACCAAATGATCAACTACAGTTCAAGTTATTATTTGCTGCTCCTAAAACTTGGATAGACAACAAGACTTTTGTCAGATAGTGTATTATCCCAAATATTTTGCAGACTGTTCAAATACAGATAGTAATAAATAGTAAAATAAATTGTTTTTAAATGGTGACATGGACAGTGTCCTGTGTAATAATATCATACACCTTCAGTTTCTGTTTTGGTTTTATAAAAACCTCTTATCGGGAAACACCAAATATGCTTAAATATAATGTGAATTTTATTAGACTGTACAGAACAGCATTCTAACAAAATCCCCATGTGATCACAACTGGAATAACTGTAAGTTGTCAACTGTGGCATAATAAAAGTGCTGCTGTTTTTGTGTCACATTGTGCTTGTATCTCATTCTTAGTTTTTTTTTTTTAAATCCTATTTATTTACCTCATCTCATCCAAGTCCATTCTTTCATTTTTAGTTTATTTTTCTTTTAACCAACTGAGGCTGTGTATCTGCAATGCAATATCACAGTTTAGCATTAATCTTTATTATGATCTCACACTCACCACACCACATTTGGTAAAAGTGTCACTTGTTGGTGTTTAACTAATATTGTTTTAAAATGTTTTTATGCTTTTCATTTCTCTATTATGCTTACTCTGTGGCATTATGTTTCACATGTTCTCCTCTCGTTACAGTGGCTGCATCTTGGCAGTATTTTCAGGTGTCCTTTATGGCAGTGCATTTGTGCCTGTTTTTTATATGAAATTGCACGCCACAAATAATTCAAGCATGTTCATTGGATCCAGTCAAAATGGTGCTGTATTTATGTATAAATATCCGCATGCAATTGTATTACAGCCAAATGTGATGTATAGCCTGTAAAATGTTTAACATATTTTGCCATCCATTACAGAAATTGACTACTGCTTCGCCCATTACAGTGGAATTTTCCTCACAAGCACAGTGTATTTTCTCGCTTACTGTGCAGTCATGAAAAACAGGCCTCGGATCTATCCCAGAGCCATCTTACCTGGTAATTCATGCATTGCATCATCTTTATTCTAACATGGAAGAAGGATGTTGCTTTATAGTTGACTAATTTACAACATTAACAACCCTGGCAGTATTTCTTATTACCTTTCAGATGAATCGTAGAGCTGATTTTTAACTTATGTTATGACTTTCATGCAGGTTTTTCAAGTGGCCTGATGTGGGGATTGGCCACATATTCTTGGCTTATGGCAAATTACTACCTTGGTGCAGTGATCACATTCCCTATAACTAATGCTGTAAGTACAGTATGGCATAAAAAATCTTTCATGTTCTATTTCATCTTGCTTGGCTAATCGTGGATGATGACAGTGTTTTCCTTGCTTTCAGGGTTATTCCTTAGTAGCTGCTTTGTGGGGAAGTGTGGTATTTAAAGAGGTCAAGGTATCATAAAATTATTTGCATTCATGCAGTAATTTGAATTCTATTTTTACAATTATCTGAGTTTTCTTTTAGTTATACACGTTTAACTTTTATTAACGTTTTGTAGTTTTTATTTTGAGCAATTTGTATTATACAGTACTATTGAAAACCATTATTAGCCGCCTTGAGTTTTTTTTTTTTTTTTTGCAAGTGATATTTAACAGAGCAACAATATTTTTTGCAGTATAACTGATTATATTTTCTTTCTGGAGAAAGTTTTATTTCATTTAGTTTGGCTCTAATTATAATTTTTATTAACACTGTGTATTTTTGTATTACAAAACACTAAGGCCAATATTAGTGGTCCCCTTAAGAAATGTATCTTTTATCTGATTGATTACAGAACAAAACACTGTTGTCCAATGATTTAACCATACAGTATAATTAACTTAGTTAAGCCTTTAAATTGCGCTAAATTAACCTAAATACTGGTATCCTGTAAAATTGCATTTGCTAACATCATAGTTAAGTTAAAATAATTCATTTCTAATAAGTTATGTTAAAGAATTTTTACATTAAACAGCACTTGGGGAAAATCTTTAAACATAATGACTATTGCACAGGAGGGCTAATAGTTTTGCCTTTAACTATAAATGACATGCATTATCTAGAGGTTTGGACAAAATAAAAAATTATACGAGTAAAGAATATAGTACTAAAGAATAAAGTTAATCAATATCTAATTAGGTCTTTCTAACCATCTGATTGATCTCCTCAGGGCATTGGAAACTTGCTGTTGTTTGCTTTGGCAACTTGTGTTGTGCTGGCAGGCTCCTTCTTAACTGCCTATTCAAAGATCTGAGCCTGGATGTTAAGTTACCACAAGGTGGCAATAGTGGATCAGGTTTTAAATTAATATTCCTGCCAAACTTTGCAGTCACTTTCTCATTACAGTACGTTTCATGAGTCTTCTGCAGTTGCTTGGTAGCCCCTGATGAATTTTGGACTTTTTTTCTGCTTTTGCATTTTAACTGCTGTCAATTAATTATATGTGTTCTGTAAGTTCATGAGGATTTCAATTAAACCATTTCCCCTTTTCTGGCTATTGAGTATAGCTTTGTGTTTGAATTTGTGATGTTTTTTTTTATTATTATTTTCTTTTATTGGAGTCCCCACACTATTGAGTCTCAGCGAGTTTAATTATTAATGTTTCAATTCCTACAATAAGCCCATCAGCAGACATACTCACAAAACTTGGATAGGTATACATGGATAAACTCAGTTGGTGTCTGCATCAAATTAAATTCACAGAAGATATTGTAAATGCATGGGAAATAAATAAAATTCAAATAAAATGTCTACATTGCTTAAATTTTTGTGAAAAATATAAATATTGGTGACCATCTTCTGCACTCATTCAAAATAATATATATGCAAATATGAAAATAAACTCATTCTGATCAGTACACATTAAACACAAGTGATCATACTGAGTTGTTATATTTTAAATGATTGAAAGAATATTGTTAAAAAATGGATGATATCCTTAGAAGGACTGCAATGAAGTATAAATAATAACTCGAGGCTTCACTGTGGTTCAAAAAAAAGTCTCTTTTATTTGTAACCAAGTAATTGTTGTTCTGAATATGCCTGTTATGATTTGTGGGTATCAACTAGCTGTTACACTGAAACACATTTTATTTTAAAATAATTGTTAAATTTGTGACATTATTTTCCCTCACAATAATACAAATAATAGGGCACGTATGAAAATGTTTAATGCCCTCCTGATGTACCTAAAAGACTACATTGTACTGTTGCTTTGCCCATTTGCTGTTCTCTTTATTAAAAATCCATCAATATTGCTTTGCAGATTCACGCCAGTATTAAAGTAAAGAACATGTCAAAACAACATTGTTTACAGGCAGGTGCGCACAGGCATCTTCCTCCTGCGGGGCCTGCATCCTGAAGCCAGTTAGCTAGTTGTAGTTTTATTTGCACCATTAAAATCTGGATTTAAGAGGTCAATAAAAGTGGTTTGCTTATAGTGGTAACTTGTACTCATTGGCTAACCTACAGATTATGTTCTGGTTTAGAAATCTCAACCAGAAATTTGATTAAATAGTGGGGAGCAAAGTAATGTGTTATAAAAAAAATTTTTACTTGACACACACCATGTAAACCTGCCAAATCATATTTTACAACTTTCAAGAGTTTTCTTCAATAATGGTTTGCTGGGTTTTGAGGGACCAAACTCTTTGTAAAGCTATATATGTTTAGTCTCTGTGGAGATTTACTTCAAGTGACCAACTACTTGCCTAGCAATTCCATGGATGTGCTTAAACTGGGATGTTTTTAACATTTTTCATAGGAATGAAAATGAGTGGGTTAGTGGACATGGTTTTTGAAGCATAATGAACCTGTATTAAATACACTATTAATGTGTATGACCAGCTAAGTTTCCTAAACTGGTCAGAAACTAATTTATCCATAAAAAAATAACAAAGGTTCCAACTGAAGACCTTTTTTCAGTGACGTTGCAGAAAACCCATTGGTGGTTCTCTAAAGAACCTTCTTCCAATTATAATTTTATAACACTCCAAATCAATTCTCGAGCATTTTTTTCTATTATAATGAAACATTCTGTAAAATCAAAGGTGTTTTTATAATAAGGGTCTATAAAGCAAGACTCGATGTCGATAAAGATTTCTGAAAAATCCCTAACCACAGATCAGGTTATATTGATTTAAGTTTCCTCCCACATAGGCTATACTGTATACGCACAGGAATATACAGTGTAACTTTTATATCTTGTAAATCTGACTTCATAATGTTTATTCTCTGGCTTGCGTTGCGCATGGGCCGTGAGGATGACAAGCGGCATTCTTCTGAGTTTGGGACTGCTGTGTCAGCTGATCCGGGATCGGGACCGCTCCATTCATACTGGAGCTCCTGCGCTGAGCGGATCATCTTGGAGCTCCTGAGCACCATCAATATGTACCCAAAGCCAACGCTATTATTCAAACTTGGATAAAAAAACGACTTAACCATGCGCACACACTCGTACCAATGGATACGCGTTCGACTCGCGCTGGAGATGTCGGGGACACTTTGATTTACTTGTCCTCATCGTTCCTGAAAGTCTGCAACTGTTGTAGGAGTTATTCCGCAGTAAGGAAGTACTTGATTGTAGCCGTGGTGTGCTTTGGTTATCTGTTTTTCACAGTTCATGTTAGTCACACGTCCACTCGACAAGATAAACGCCCGGAACTGTGGACTGGAAATGGCGTTTATTCTCAGAGTAAAACTGACCAGGGCCTCACCGATGGGGAGGTGAATGAATCCGTGAGTCCGACCAGAGTAAATGTGGTGTATATAACGCTCAAATCCAAGCGGCACAAACCAGCCATCATCAGGGGCACGGTGCGACCCAAACTCCGGAGAAAGAAAGTTAAAGTGAAACAGCAGGATGGCATACCGGACAGAGAGAAGAGCGAGAGGCAAAGCACAAATACTTCTGGCGGGCGACTGCCATATTCTGAGTTTGATGGCAGGAACGGTGATTATTCATCCATCAGGATTTACAGTACAAGAGCTCCTCCGTGGTTCAGCAATGAGGACATCACCGCCATGCGCTTTCTAGCGGATAGCAAAATTACGCAAATTGATGAAGTTGCACACCGCGATTTTTCTTCTTTGATTTTGTTCAAAAGTGCGACGAATCGTAGCGACAATGCCACAAAGTGTTGCGGTGTTGTCAAGCGGCCCGTGGACATGAGTGAAGTGTTCGCCTTTCATCTGGACAGGATCCTGGGACTGAACAGAACCTTGCCAGCTGTCAGCAGGAGATTCCACTCTCTTGGAGGTATTGATATTAAACACATCTGTGTGTCGTTTTTTTGTACACTGTAACCCAACAATCATCTTTATCAAATGAAATGAGTGTAGTTGACTTAAAATTTACTGAAAGTTAATTCTACTCATTTGAAAATAGTTTTGAACTCTGTTTTGAAGGTAATGAGTTAATTAAATACACCATTACTTTAACTTAAATGGAGTAAGTTCACAGTACTCAGATTCGTTTTTTTTTAAACTCAAATGGTTTGTAGCAATCGGTTTCCTCAAACGGGTTAAGTTGCCTTAACTTGTTGAGTTTCAGTTCTCAGTTGGTTTGAGATCTCTTTTATTTATCAGGTTTTACTGTGCTCAAATTGCTTCGTTTACTCAAATGGATTAAGTTCACAGTACTCATTAGGATTAGTTTTTGAACTTAAATGTTTTTTGCAATCGGTTTCCTCAAATTGTTTGACTTTTAGGTTTTACAGTGTACGAATATGGCATTTTTTACTTAATATAGGTAATTATCTAAGTTAGATCATTTTATATTTATATATAGTTTTTGTTTAAATATTATTTTTTAATTTACATTTTTTCTACAATATACATGCATTTTACTTATTGTTTGTTTATAGACTTAGATGTTTATGGCCCAAAAGTGTTTGAATATTTTTGTCACACATGTTTTATTTGGTCATTGTATTTGAATTATAACAAAATATTAAGCCTGTGTGTGTTATCCTCAAATCTTCGTTTCAGTCGATCATTAAGGTTTATACTGTTATGAATTATAGAATATGTCTTCTGTAATCATAAAAAACAATAACAATGATAATAATATATTTAATTAATTAACCTTGTTTTAGCATGTTTTGTGAACCATTGCTTTAACTGCTCTGAGAAACCATAATTAGTGTCTATGCAGTCATTTTTTTTTCTGTGGCTTTTAAATCGACTGTATCAAGTACTTACTTTGGTATACATATTTAAGTGCTGTCTTGAGCTATTAAGAGAACATGACTGTGATGAACTCTATGCATCATGTTTCAGAAGGACAGCCTTGTCCGGTGGTTTTGTGGGATCCTTCTCTAGGCCCCGTAGCAGATCAACCCTCTGAGAAACTGAACTGGGGCTCATATCAAACCTCTCTCAAACACAAGTGCTGGCATCGTGGCGTCACACCCAAACCAGAGTGGGGCTGTAGCAGCATACACCACCACGAATGGAGCAAACTGGTAGTCTTTGATTTCCTTCTGCAGGTACTCATCCAACTAAAAACAACTAAATGATTTATTAAATTAAGGATTGATATTTTTGTACCTTTTTATTGAATTAAATGTGTACTCATTTGCATACATTATTAGCACAAAATATCTGAAAACTGGATGAAGTCAGGTTTCAGATTCTTGTTTAAGACTGATTGATTCATTGATTGATTGATTGATTGATTAATTGATTGATTGGAGAATAATTGATTTATGAGTCTAAGGTTTTTATAAACTTTTGGTAATCTGTCTTTATCATTCCATATTTCGGACTTAACTTGTGTAAGCATATTCCTCTGTAAAAACTGAATAATCAAAGTGCAGATATTGATAAAATGTTGAAGCGCAGGAGGACTCAATCCAAAAAAACATACACAATAAATCAGGTGTTTGTGTTTTTTCCCTTGGGGAACAAATCCATAACCTCGCCCTACTGTTTAAGATATGGGAAGGTGTCGTTTGTTTAAACAGAATATAAACATGTATTGTATACAGACACAAATAGATAAAGTCTGACAAAAGAAACACTTAAATGTCTATTTTCAGATGTTTCCTTTCCATTAGGCAAAAAAAATAAAAAATCTTTTAAACTGATAGGTGCATGAAAACCCCTAAATTGACCATAACCATATAACAAACAAAAAAATAAAGATTGTGTTTCTTCTCAGATTTATGAACGGCTTGATAAAAACTGTTGTGGATTCAAGCCCCGTCCAGAAGACACCTGTGTTGAGCTTGGTTACCATGAGGAATGTAGAGACAAGGACAGTATAGAGCTAACACACATAATCCACCGCAGACATGACCCACACCACCTGGTCTTCTTCAACAACAAGGGCTACTTTGACCGAGATGAGGACAATCTGGACTTCAGGCTACTTGAGGGCATCAAAGAGTGAGTAAAAATAGTACACCACATGTTAATTTTTAAACAAAAGTTTTTCAAGTGATACAGTACTGCATTTGAAAGAAAAACACAGTTACTCTTGAAATACTCATCCTTGTCCAATGTCTGCATTTTTTAATGTGTTACAAATGATAAAATGTCTTTGTTCTCCTTTTTAATAAGAGATTTTTTTCTGTATTATTTTGGGATCTTTTTCGACTGCAGTTGAGTGAAGACACCTGTGGTGACAATCTAGTGAATAATAATTCAAAATAGATTAATAAAAATATAGTATGTGTACTATATGCAAAACCCAAACCTTGGGTCATTAATTCATTCACTTTCCCTAGTCACCTGGAAGAAACACACGCCAACACAGGGAGAACATGCAAACTCCACAGTAATGCCAGCTGGCCCAGTTAGAACTCGAGTCAGTGACCTTCTTGCTGTGAGGCGACAGTGCAAAATGATTTCCCCCTTTAAGCTTTATTTTTTTCAATAGTCGACAGAACAAACCATCATTATACAATAACTTGCCTAATTACCCTAATCTGCCTAGTTAACCTAATTAACCTAGTTAAGCCTTTAGGGTTGCTTTCACACCTACACTTTTGTTTCGGAACCTGTCTCATTTGCCCAGTTAGCGCAGTTCGTTTGGCATGCTTGAAACCACCAATCGCGCTCTGATCCGCACCAAAACAATCGCTCCGAGATCGCTTGAATGAGGTGGTCGTGACTTGATTGAAATGAACTCTGGAGCAGATCGATTGTAATAAGAAAGCAAACGATCCGAGCCCGGTTATATCACTGTGTTTTATAGATATGTAATAGGCATATGGCTACATGAAGATAGAATTATGAGTAGTTCGGGAAGTTTCAGGATTTTCCCAGATGCCCGCAAACGAGTGATAATCTCCCAGTAATCTTTGTTGTATGTTTAGAAATGTGTTGAAAAAAAACTTCTTTCCATCAAATAGAAATTGGGTGGAAAAAAAAACGGGGAGGGGGGGGGGGTGGATTCTCAAAAGTCTTGTTAACAAATGGCTTCATGGAGTCATTTTATTCAGCTTAAGCCTTTATTTATCAGGGGTTGAGATAGCGGAATGAACTGCCAACTATTCCAGCATTTGTGTTACGCAGTGGATGCCCTTCAAGCCACAACCCAGAACTGGGAAACACCCACACACTCTCACATTCACAAACACTCATATGGCCATTTTTGTTCACACAATTCATTTATACCGCATGTGTTTTGATTGAGGGGGAAACCGAAGCAACCCCACGCAAACATGCAAACTCCTCACAGAAATGCCAAATGGTCCTGCTGGGACTAGAATGAGCAACCTTCTTGCTGTGAGGCGACAGTGCTAACCACTAAGCCACTGTGTCGCCGAAGTTATTTCAGTATTATTCAAAAACACAATCATATACAGTTGAAGTCAGAATTAATAGCCCCCCTGTATATTTTTTTCCCCAATTTCTGTTTAACTAAGAAAATATTTTTTTCCACACATTTCTAGACACTTCTATACAGCCTAAAGTGACATTTAAAGGCTTAACTAGTGTAATTAGGTTAACTAGGCAGGTTAGGATGATTAGGCAAGTTATTGTATATTGATTGTACTGCAGACTATCGAAAAAAATAGCTTAAAGGGGCTAATAATTTTGACCTTAAAACAGTGTTTAAAAAAAAAAAAAACTGCTTTCATTCTAGCTGAAATAAAACAAATAAGACTTTCTCCAGAAGAAAAATATATTATTAGACATACTGTGAAAATTTCCTTACTCTGTTAAGCATCATTTAAGAAGAAATTAAAAGGTGGACTAATAATTCCAACTTCAGCTGTACATACATGTTGCTAACATATTATATTAGCCCAGTTTGTGCTGTTTACAGTGGCTTAGCCACCTATATGTTTATAAGCAACTGACAAAAGCACAGGTCAGGGCATGTCGGAACTTCTCCAGGCCCCCAAAACACCCTCAGACCCCAGAAGGGTAGATAAAATAAAATTTAATTTGGCCTCATTTTTTCTTGTTCATACTGATCTTTTTTGTAAATGCAACTAAGAACTAATGTCTTTGAGGCCACAAGTATGGCCTATCAGTAAGCCAACACCTCCACAACAGCACTGAAGACGTAAGCAAAGACATATGCCAACAATCTGACACGTGCTGTCTGAGCAAGGGATTCTGCTGCTAATGTGATACCTCTGGGAAGGCAAGCTCACTTGTGCACATAACATAAATCAGGGCAAACGATGGGCCATTGCGCTGTTTGAGTATAGCAGCTGGCACATTATTGGCATTACAGCTGACTGTTACACAATATGTACGTTCCCAATACAATTTGGTTTGAGGGTATAAATTAAAGTAGAAATTATAATGTACACAGTTCATTAATAATATGTTTGCTTTATTAATCTTAGAGTACATGCTCATATGCTTTTAATATTTTTCTCCTTTCAGGCTACCAGATCAGTGTGTGTCCGTGTTGATGTCTCAGCGTCTCAGAGAAAAGCTCCTGCAATCGCTGTTTCTGGACCAGGAGTACTGGGACAGTCAGGGCGGTCGGCAAGGCATTGAAAAACTCATTGACGTAATTGAGAGAAGAGCCAAAGTCTTGCTCACGTACATCAATGCCCATGGGATTAAAGTAGTACCTATGAACTCTTGACAGACGAGGCTTCAGTTTTCAATGTGTAAGACGAAGCACCAACCTTTCGATTTCCAGTAAATGATGTTTTTGAACCATTATGGCAGTGAAGACATAAAAAAAGTAAAACTCTTCCGGTCGCAATTCTCTGCACTACAGAAATGTGTGTGTTGTAAGTGGTCTCCAGTTTAAGATGGAGTCAAGGGGTCATTTTTGTTATTGACATTCCTCAGGTTAAAGGTGCTGTAAGTGATAGGATCCGTTTCGTTAACTTCCACCACAATTAGCCTCTTCATTTGACCACCTCTGCTGTCAAAAATCATGTCCATTAGCAAGCCTGAAGTTGAGCAACACAAATGCTGTTTTTTTTTTTGGTTTTGTTTTTGTTTACACAACTATTATGTTCTCAAACATACAGTACAATTCACCATTTCTATCTCTTTTTCCATGTCTGTTTGATTTTTTTCTAACATTCTTCAGTATATCTTCCTTTGTGTTCGACAGAAGACAGAAACTCATACTGATTTGGAACAAGTAGAGGGTGAGTAAATGATGACAGAATTTTCATTTATGGTGAACAATCACTTTAATTTTCATCCTTGGGAAAATAATCTGCAAGGTCACTTAACCAGATCATTTTGATTTGGTTCAAGCATTACAGAATGACAACATTTGAGATTATTAGTTTAGTTATTTAATCTGTTGAGTGCAATGATATTTTTCTATTATTATTATTTGATCATTTTGTTTCCATCATAGTTTTTGTCTTGTTGGAAAAAAAAAAAAAATATATATATATAATGCACAGCTTGACATTTCCATCAAGCTTAAATATTTTTTTGAATCCCAAAATGTGTATTATAAAGAACGTTTTTTACAGAGAGAGTATCACAATAAAACCTTCGCCCGACAGTTTGATTGACAGGCCACCCAGCCAATCAAAACACTGATATTCTGTGCCTTTGTCAATTTCCAGCATTTTGTCTGACAGGCATTTCAGTAGAGTTGCATTGACGATTAACTTAAAACAAGTGTAAATGTGTTTGTATGGGACTTGCAATGCATACAGCAGGTACCCAGAAAGTCTACTGACCTTATTGTGTAATACGAAAGTGCGCTTGTTTTTGTGATTGTTTTAGAACTTCCGATTCAGTTTCCTATGGGAGAAATGACTAGGAATAATAAATGCAGTCAAACTACTTGCTCTAAATACAAGTGTGTGAATATACATACTGTAGGCGACGCAGTGGCAGAGTAGGTAGTGCTGTCGCCTCACAGCAAGAAGGTCGCTGGTTCAAGCCTTGGCTAGGTCAGTTGGTGTTTCTATGTAGAGTTTGCATGTTCTCTCTACGTTTGCGTGGGTTTCCTCTGGGTGCTCCGGTTTCCCCCACAGTCCAAAGACATGCGGCACAGGTGAATTGGGTTGGCTAAATTGTCTGTAGTTTATGAGTGGGAATTAGTGTGTTTGAATGTTTCCCAGAGATGGGTTGCAGCTGAAAGGGCAACCGCTGCGTAAAACAGATGCTGGATGAGTTGGCGGTTTATTCCGCTGTGATGACCCCAGGTTAATAAAGGGACTAAGCCAAAAAGTAAATGAATGAATGACTAATAAACATATATCTATGCATAAAAAGAAGAAGAATATAATAAGAAAATATCAGTTTTTAACACATACTGTAAGGAAAACTTATAAAGTTAACTTAATATTTTTTACAAATTTAAGTGGACTGAACTTATTTTAAATAAGTAGTTTGAACAAACAGCAAATAACAAGCTGTTTTTAACATCTAAAAATCAATGTAAGTGAAAGAAAAGAGACAGGAAGTCCTAAACCAAAAAAGATTCCAATGGCTGCATTTGCAGTAAAAAAAATAAGGTCTATGCTGTGTCCGAAATTACATACTTCCATACTATATAGTACACTATAAACAGTATGTGAGCCGAATAGTATGTCCGAACTCCTAAAAATCTAAAAACAGTATTTGAGAAGTACACGGATGACCTACTACTTCTGGTGAGATTCTGAAGTGAGCATCGAATGAATGCTACGCTATCCCATTATGCACCGAGAGAGAATTAGGGAGTTTAGTGAGGTATCTGATGTGAGTAGGTCACGTGATGATGATACAAGCTGGAAGTTACCTAGTATTATATATATTATTTAATAAATTTCACATTTATTGTATTTTATTAACGTCTACCCCTACCCTAACTGTCACAGTAATGTATAAACAGTAATTGTATCAAGTATTATTTGTTAATAAATTACCCAATAAATTGTATTATATTACCACCTACCCCCACCCCAACCGTCAGAGTACTGTAAAAATATTAATTATTTTATACAGTGTTATAATAATGATGCTATATTGATGCCCGTATCTGCAGCTGCATTCTAACTAGACTTTACCAAGTTCTATTCATACTACTGACATTCAAACTATATAGAACATGCTTTTCTAACGGTCGGCATTTACATTCAAATGCAGTACCTACTGAGTAGACGATTTTGGACGCAGCATGGTCTATATTGTGGCTTCAATTTGTATATTTTTAATTCCCCTCATACTTTCAAATAATGAATATATCCCTTGTGCATACTGCAGAACTTTATTTCTGCTTCTGTCTGAAATCAGTATGTCATTTTTTTGGAGAAGTGTATTTCTTTATTAATTATTCACTGTTTACTCGGGAAGTGCACAAATAGGGGAGCACCATGGCTGATACTAAAAGCTTGTCTGACACAGACAAGTGAAACGGGGTCTTGCTAAATTGCTTAAAATGTCTAGCTTAGTTACGTCAAAGTGTTTGTACTCTTCCATAATACCTACAGCACTTTAAAGTTCATCTCAGTAAGTTTAAGTCAGTTCAGCTCATAACAGCAGTTTATGATTAATTCTGCAAAATTGTATTATCTACTGTTTTATACCTGGATGATAACAGTTCCAGAGTGTAACTGTTAAATCTGGTATTGTTGCACTTCTGTTTATCACCATAAAGATATGAATATTTTTTTCGACTAGCAGTATTCAGTATCTTATGATAAGTGTTTATTTTTGTACAATGTTTTTTATATCTATAAAAAAAAAAAGATTTGAATAAAAGTGTTCCTGTCCACTGCAAGATCACTTTGACATGAATCTTTAGTGGGCGACACGGTGGCTCAGTAGCATTACTGTTACCTCACAGCCAGAGGGTAGCTGGTTCAAGTCCCGGCTGGGTCAGTTGGCATTTCTGTGGGGAGTTGTTTTGTTTGTTCTCCCCATGTTTGCGTAGGTTCCCAGCAAGCATTTTTTTGTTTTTAAAAGATGTCTAATAGACGTCTAAACATAGTCGTCTTGGCTAAAACAAATATCTAATAGACGTCTAAGAATAGGCCAAAACGTGACCAGTCATCAAATAAACAGAAATGAATACACATATAGTCTGTCTAATCTGTCTTTTTGACGACTAGTCTAATTTTGGACTATTTTTAGATTTTCTCTGACAGCCCAAGTTTAGCCTTGTTTTAGCCAAGCTGTCGTTTAGATGTCTTTTAGACATCTATTAAACACAAAATTGTTTGGGTTTTCTCAGGGTTCTCCGGTTTACCTTACAGTCCAAAGACATGCAATACAGGTAAACTGAATAACCTAAATTGGCTGTTGTGTGTGGATGGATGTTTTCCAGTGCTGGGTTGCAGCCGGAAGGGCATCCACTGTGTAAAACATATGCTGGATAAGTTGGCGGTGCATTCCGATGTGGCAACCCCTGTTGAAAAAAGGGACTAAGCGGAAGGAAAATGAATGAATGAATCTTCATTAGTGCTGTTTCCCTGTCACGTAATTGCCTTGGATATGGTTTAAAATACTTTAAGCCTCGCATCATTTCTTTGACTGTAGTCTCTGAACAGCTATTACTTTCGTTTTCCGTTTTCATGCAGGAATACTTGAGTTTGAGAGTGCAGCTGAAGCTTTTCTGTTCCTCATCTTAGCGTTGCGCTTTGCCAGTCAACCAGTTCTCAGAAACTAAAGTGACCCCTTTTGAACAGACATACTTACCCACAGAAATATGCTCACACAAGGGCTCTTTTATGAGTGTGAAAAATACTTAATGCTTGGCAGCACTGGCCAGAATACATTTCAGAAGTATCTGGTTTGCACAGTGGACTTGCTGTGTCTTGCCACACTATTTGCCAGACAAAAATTGGGTTGTTTAGAAACTGTAAAATCACCTCGGCTCATCTAAATGTGATGCACACACTACCAATAAGTCATCGTGTTTAACTTCCATAATAGTACAGTGTCATTTTCCATCCTCGAACACAAAGAATGTTAAATCCATTAGTGCATATATTTGGATACAGGTTTTTATTTTGGCTGTAAATCCACAGGGGACGTGTTGTTTGCATCATATCAAATGCAGTATACCATAATAGGAATGGAAAGAAGCATCTTTTAAGAGCTCGTTTTGCATATGACCTCATTTTATTTGAATGTCTGAAGTGTATTGAAATTCCTTTGGGTTGACACAGCAATTCCAGTCTAATCACTTCCTGTCTTTTCCTTCAGTCAAGTTTCAAAACAGTGTAATACATTCAGCGAAGTTACATATTTGTCATCCTGTGTCACAGTGGGACACCATTACTCTTTCTTTCCGTCCAATGTGCTTTTTTAAAACTACTTTATCCAAACAATGACACTTTTATACCAGTTCTCATAACCACCCTTTTCCCCTCTGTCAAACAAGCTATTATTCTAACCTAGGCTTATTGTGGATACTTACCCATGTCTACATTTCGAGTGCCAGTAGGTACTTTTTTTTGCATTTTTTGCTTTCACGAATCCACCAGAGGCTGCTGTGTATGCCTCCCATTCCGCCAACGTATATGGTGAACCACTGGGCCAACTGGTAACAGTGGAGAAGTTGTCCACATGGAATAAGCTTTCAGCTGGTAGTGCAAAAAGAAACAGAAGCCATCAGCTGCTCTCCAGAAATATAGGCGTGGGTACACTTTCATTTTCACAATGAGCCGGTGTTTGAAGCTCCCTTTATCTGTATTCCATAGCTTGTGAACTTATTCTGACTTATGAAAAATTACTGAGCATCTCATTAACTCAAAAGGCTTTTCCATGTCATTTCATTCTTTCATTCATTTATAACTATAACAGCCTGAAACACACGTAATTTTTATAGCTGCCTTTTTGCCACGGTTTCATTTTCCCATTTTTTTCTGCACATTCAAATGGCAATATTTTGTTTTGTAACTGATGCATATTTAAAAAGCTCTTTTTCTTTTCTTTTTTTTTTTTTTTACTTTGAGTAACACAATGTTGATACATTTCTGAATGTAAATTCTGTGTTTTAAATGAAAATGAATGAATCAGCCACTTTGAACAATTAAACTGAATGGACAATTCATTAACTCATTCATTATTAAGACTTGCTCCCATGTTCTGGAGGT